CTAGGCTGAGCTGTCACTGAGGAGCTAATTGCATTTGGACATCTGGAGTGCAAGAGAGAGGCCAGAGCGGAAGAGAGTGATTTCAAAGTCATGGGGCTTGAAATTCATGGGGCTTCTCTAGGGAGCATGCGGACACAACGAAAAGAAGACAAGGCTCGAGCACAGGACAACTTCAGTACTGGGAGGTCAGGAATAGGGGCGCCACCATCAAGGTACCCCTGAAGGAAGCGCTGTGTCTCTGTTGGAGGAATTTACTTCAACACTCGATGATATAAGGAATATGTGAGCAGGGGCCCAAGAACAACTACTACATTTCCTTAGATGGGATGCTCTGGTCAGAATCCCTTAAAGGGATTCTGAAGAGGTCTTTATCTACTGGAAACAACTAAGGTACAGGTCAGCATGGCGAGTGGTAGAAGAAGAAAAATTCATGCTTTATTAAGTTACAGATTTTTCAAAATTGTGAGTTATCATCTCACCCTAGTTAGAAAAACTATTACTAAAATATTGAAAAGTACATGCTGATGAAAATGTAGAGAAAACGGAAACTGTTGGTGGGAATGTAATTTAGCTCAGCATTACGCAGAGCAGTGTGGCGGGCCCACAAAATGAAATGCAAATCTCCGATGTGACACAGCTACCCCATTTCTGGGTACATCCGAAGGAAATGACATCAGGGTACAAAAGAGACACCTGTGTTCCCATGCTTATTGTGGCACTGTTTGTAATAGCTAAGACACGGAATCAAAAGAAATGTGGCTAAAGATTCTATGACACTTACATGCTGCATATACGCATATGTGCATATGACTCATTTGTATAATAAGAGCTTATTCACCCTTAAATAAGAATTAAATCTTTTATCTGCAGCAAAATAGATGGAAGTGGAGGGTTACGTTAAGTGATATAAGCTAGACATGGGAAAAAGTACTATATGTTTTCTCTTCTATGAGGATGTTAAAAAACATTAATCTGAATGTAGAGCAGTAATTACTAGAGTAGAGGCTGGGGAATGGAACAGGAGAGTGGACAAAGGGAGTCTGTACTTGGTCAGTGTCCCCTGTATACATATATTGCAATGTCACAAGAAGCTCATGTATATGTATAACTAATATATGTTAGCACAATACAGCTTTTAAATTAAAAGGCAATATATGTACTTGGCACTGCGATTCAAACTCAGACCTTGCACTTGCCAGGAAGGTGCCTGTGCTGCTCAGCTATTGCCCCACGCAAAAGGCAACTTTGCCATTAAGATAGTTAAAAAATAGGTGTGAGGTGGTTTTAAGGTATGTTACTTTCTCCAGTGACTTCAGGGAGTCCTGTACCTCCTACTGCCCCCCCAACATGATCGCTATCTGTAAATGTTTTCCCCCGGAGAATTTTATCCTCTAGTCATCAAAATTCTGCACTGCAGCTCTGAGTTTTAATTCAGAGTTCAACATGAAGAACGTGGGCCTCAAGCCACAGCCACTGTGAACTGGCCGTGTGTGCTGTGCGCGCGGCACAGGGCACGGCAGAGGCGGGGACAGGCTTCCTCTACCCTCCTCCTGCAGCGGGAACTCCTTTTCCACCAGCAATGCGGCATTAGCATCGCAGGCTGCGGTGTCATGGGCTTGACCTAGGCGACTGCTTTGTAACCCTGCTCAGCTTCTGAATTGTTGTAAGACTGACCACAGCCAAGAAACTAATTTCTTTTAGTTTCCCAGTCAATAAAATAGAAACTGCCTCATCTGTATCAAAGCAGTATCAACTAAATCAGTGAATGCACGAAAAGGTGTTGGAGGTTTGGAGTACCATGTCGTCACTTCCCCCCCTCATTTTTGGGTCGCTATCTAAATGCTCTGCATAGCTAATCTATCTTGGACTATACAATTGCACAAGGAAAAAATCAAGCTTTTAGTTTCCTTGTGAATATTCAATTTATAAGTGCTGCTAAATAGCAACAGTTTAGCTGGAAAATTGTTGCACTGCTGATAGCTGAAGCAGTAGTTCCCAGTCTTGCCCACGCGAAAGAACCCACTCAGAAGTTTAACACTTGTCATTACCCAGGGCAGATGCAGGGCAGCTGGTGTAGGAGGGAGGCTGAGTGTCTGCTCTTTCAAAGCTCCTGAGCAGATCTGCACACACGTGGGACTTACAAGAGCTGACATAAAGGGTCACATTGCAAAAGGGAGGACGGGGAAAGCAGGGAAGAAAAATGCCGAGAATGCGGACCGTGAGACTATGTGGTGCTTCAGGTGAAATTCAGAGCCTCTTTTTATGATTTTGGGTTCTCTCTCCTACCTGTAGATTAAGGAGGTTAGAACTGATAAGCATTCAGTTCCTCACAAAAAGTTTAACTTTTGAAAATCTTTTATTCCTGTCTCTTCTAATTTTTTCTTTCTATACGGTCTATCGCAGTCTTTCTCTCTCTCTCTCTCTCTCTCTCTCTCTCTCTCTCTCTCTCTCTCTCAATCTGTATTTGGCTCTCACAAATGCTCTTCAAAGTGATGTATGCAGATAGTAATGTTTTCATTTTAAGGAGAAAAACAGGACTTCAGGAGTTGATAACTCGGCCAGAACACATGCCCAGTGGAAGCAAACACGAAGCTAGAAGTCACATTTTGAAACCTGGTGTGAGTGTTTGCTCTCTTGAAGAATACAGGATTAAATGAAGAAGTGGAGAGATTTGGACAAGCACAAGACGAGGAAACCATGCATTAGGATGTGGTGTGCGAAAGCATGTTGAACAGCTGGTTGGGGGTGGGGGCATGCGCCCTGACTTGTGAAAGTTGCCTGTTTTTGTAGTGTCATTACTTGCACAGTGTCAACTGCTTGTGGGATGTCACCCCAGGTGGAACGGGGAGGAGACTGCACAGTAATGGGCTGCTATGAGCCGGCTCCTCCTTGTCCTCGTTGTTGGCAAATATTACACTGGAATGTGAAAGCAGCTTTAACACACTGTGTCAGGATTTATAACTGAGTGGTAGAGGAGCACACTTTTGGAACGAGGAACAGATGTTCAGCGATCTTTAGGCTTTCTGGAGTGACTCAAAATTTTGATCTCAGCCTTCGAAACCATTTCTGCCCAGAATCAAGGCAGACAAACCCAAAGCAGAAGGACCGTATCTAAATCCGTTCCTTAACCTGGCTCTGATGCTTAACTTTTCTCTTGGAGCGAAAAGCAGCTGACGTCCTTGGTGCGAAGGCCGAAGGCGTAGCAGCACACCTGGAAGCCCCTGTAAACAGATCCTCTGAGAGAATCCCGCGCTCCCAGCGCAGTTCACACGTAAACTTCTCACCGGTCAAATTTCATGCAAAGTATGTATTTAGGGTATTCTGAATAACTGCTTGTTAAAAATCGAATTTGTAATCCCAATTTGATGAAAATAGGACACTAATCTCAGTGGATTTTTTTAATTTCTTGAATCTGGGAGAAAAAGACCCCAAACATTTAGCTACTAAAAAGAATTCAGTGCCTAAATCAGGGAACTGGGTTGAGGTTGTGTTACATGTGTGGTTGTGGATATAAACTTCTTAACCTCCTAGTGTGCTTTTGGTTGAGCATAATTTAAAACTTTATTAACTTCTTACAATCTCTAGAGAATTTAAAAATCTCACAGGATTATCTGATTAAAGGTTCCAGTCCGGATTATATTAAATCTAACCTTTGGCCTAGGTCAAGGAAGAAGAGAAAGAGAATTATTTTGGAAAAAAATGCCTGAGATTTGCAGAATGATGAGTACATTATTTCCATTTCAAGACAAGTATTAAGAGACGGAGGCAATATTTAAAGCACCTAGGGTCCCAATGACGTGACTTTTTTTTTGGTGGTAACAGGGATCAAACTCAGGACCTTATATGACTCAATATAAAGAAAAAAACTGGAGAATGAAGTTAATCTTGCCTGATATATTTAGAAAATAAAACAACAGAGCATGATATATGAAGCTTTGAGTATAAGGCAATAAAACAAAAACTTTGTGAGTCCCAATAAGAAGTTAGGGAAGTAAATGGGAACTTCGCCTAATCAGCTGAGGAGCGAAATAAGAGATAATCATTTTATGTGCATATTCAGATCTTAATGTTTTGTTTTCTAAGCTTCGTAGAGCTCACTAGATGTGATCTCATTCTGTTTTCTGATTCCAATGACGAGACACAGATTCTACAATGGAAAAGCAAATCCTATTTTTAACTAGGTCAGTAGAGCAGGTAGATTTTTGTTATCTGGCATTAATCAGTAGCTTTAGGAGCATTTCAGAAGTATTCCTTCCTGTTCCTTGTACTTTTCTTTACAGCAAAGCTTTATCTTGGTACTGTTCAATAACCAGAAGATAGAACTTTAAAAAATTATTTCTGCTAAATGGGAGAAAATTATAGTTTTCTTTGTGTACTCTCAGTTTTGCCAGAGGTCTTGGTCAGTACACCCGACCCCCCGAAACTGCCTGGGACACTCAGAAGCTGTGCTGTCCAGCTAAATGGGAGTTGGGAGTGGCCATGTAGGACAGGGTTTGGAAAACCATCTTTTTTTGTTTTTTTTTTTTTGTTTTTTTTTTAGGGAAGGGTCTACAGGGTGTTCAGGGTCTCATTACTAGATGGGACTTGTAGTGATCTGCCTGTTTACAGCCTCCCAAGAGCTGGGATTACAGGTATGCGCCACCACGCCCAGGCTCAATTGCCATCTCAGTGCATCCCGGGGGCAGGGCTGGCATGGCAGGCCCGGGGATCGAACCCCCTGCCCTGTGCCTGCTTGCAGGTGCTTTAATCCACTGAGCTATTTGGTCGGCCCTCATCATTTTTTCTTAATGTAAAAAGAATATTTTAGCAATCCTAGATGCCTACGTGTTACAGCCCTGTGCTACTGAAAACGACAGAATTTCTACAAAGAATATTGCATCCCATCTAACAGGATGACAGTTTTATGTATCCTGGACCATATTAATAAAGGAAAGCAAACCATGGGTTTTTTAAGAAACACTTCCCAGAATTCCGCCATTATTTTCCAAAATGCTTCTCACCTGCTCTGGGTAGCCGTCCATACTCCTTTGCCCTTTAGTTTGAATTAAGCACCGTCCAGGCTGCGGTCCCCGGGGGGCCTGCGAGGAGGGGATCTGAATAGGCAGTGGTGACTGAAATTGCTGGATGGTCACTTTGTTTATGTTGCCCTCGTATGACTGCTGCTCCCGGCTGCGATGCTGAAGGCTTTGGGACCCCATCAAGGTCTGGATGTGGCTACCTGCCTGTGGAGAGGACAGTCTGTTAGGCAAAGGTTCCTGGGGCCCAGAGGGTGCGATGACCGCAGAGAACACGTCCAGAACACCTCTTGGGGAGAGTGCAATGGTTTGGGCTTTCAGCCAAAGCTGGGAAGGATAATGAAGAAGCAGTAAGGCTCTGCCAGCTGCATTTTGTCAAAATGTTAAGATCTGAACCGGCGAGCATTAAATCTATCGATAGTCACTTGGTGGCCGGCTAATGGCGATTTTAGTGCTTATTTTTAAGGGAACAAAGTACAGTGTGAAAAATCTCAAGAAGAGAAAGCAGCAATCATTTGAAAATGGAGCGGAGCTCTACTTATCATTTTATATGAAAAATCACAGAGATCCACAGTACAAATAAGGAGGGGAAATGATAAAACCTGCTTTCTAACTGCAACAAAAAGTAGAGTCAGATTTATGGACACAAGTACGGATGAGCTTGTTTAGGTGTGGGTAGCCAATGCTTATTTTTTTTTTTACACCATTAGGAATACAACCCTCAGAATCCTTAAATTATATTAAACTTAATTATGCGACAAATTTCTGTGGGCATGTGCAGTCAGTGGAGGCACTAGAGATGGAAAGGTCTTTAAAATGAAGTCTGCACATTCCTTTCACTACTTTAAATATTTTGAAGAAAAATATAAGAAAACAGAAATATGAGGAAAAGTTGCCTAAGAGTGTCAGTCAGTACCAGCAGAATAAGAAACAATTAGCAATCTGACACCGCCAATGACACTTCAGCTGTGGTCACGAAACAATGGTCTCTTAAGTACAACTAAATAACCTCATAAAGGACAAATATTTCTTTTGGTAATGTATGTGTTCTACTAGAAATCTACATTAATGAGAAATCTCAAGATTTACAGCTGTTTTGGTAGAATGAACACCCTTTTGGTCATTTTTCTTTACTATAAATTTGACTCTGCTCTGCTTCCATAGAATTTTATGGTGTCTTGTTTGATAAGAACAGAAACCTTGATAAAGCCAGTATTGCACTCTGAGATATTGTATTCTGCCTTTTTTTTTTTTTTTTTTTTTTTTTTTTTTTTTTTTTGAGATACAGGGTCTTGCTATGTAGCTCAGGCTGGCCTTGAACTCATGGTGATCCTCCTGTCTCCGCCTCTCAAATGCTGGATAATAGGCTTGCACCATCATGCCCAACAGAGCTGCTGTATTCTGAATGAACTCACTAGCATGCTTAGCTACACAGTTAGAGAAAAATCTCGCCATTGGAGGAGTTGGAAGTGACCAGCTATTGAGCAGCCCATTGATTTCTCCACTTGGACATGCTTCTCCTGTCCACTGGAGAACATTAATGAGTCTTCAGTCAGTTCTTCAACCAGTGGGAGGTAGGGAGACTGGAGGTTTAATTGAAAGCAATCACACAGATAAGCAAAACAGTTTTATACCCAGACAACTCAGAAGAAAAGCAGAACAAAGCCTTGGTGCCTTAGTATATAATCTACATGAGAAAATCAATAATGACTACTTAATGATTCCTTTGTTGATTAATCCAGTGATGGTCTATCCAAGGCAAAAACCTAATTCTCTGCATTATAGAGCTATAAAAGACTTTAGCCTTATTTTTCTACTGATGGGACTACTTGAGCTCAGGATTATATGGACTTTGAATTCTTTGTGAGAAAGCTGCATATCCTAGTGACTTTTTAATGACTTGGATAATAATTACATTTGATGAATAATAGCTACCAATCAAACACTAGGTCCTGAACAATGTGTTAATCTTTGCAACAATATTATAGGTAGTTATTATTATCTAATTTACTGAGGGAGAAACTAAAGTTGAGAGAGGTTCAGGAGGCTTCTGAAGGAACTGGTGGGTCTGGTAAACTGCCAACATGTGAACCAAGGTTATCAAAGGTTATGCTCTTAAACACTGTATTATGCTGTAACCATTCCCTCCCAAATCAGTACATTTCTCTAATAGTTAGACTGTGAATTGGAAAGAAAAGGATCAGAGTGCTGAGGGAGGAACATTTCATTTTGTTAGTGGCTCTTGAATTTCCCTACTTGGTAAATTAAGTCCATCAACTGCATTAAATGCTAAGCCCAGGACTTCAAGCTAGGTAGCCAAGTAAATAGGTTGTGAGTTTTGTACTGAGCGATCTGTCCAGTACTACAGAATAATGAAGCTGTCCTCAGCTCACTTGGCAAAACAGAAAGCAGACATGGAAGGAATATCCTGGAGAGGTTTTCTTTACAGCCATAGGAATAGTTCTTTCAATCTCTTTGGCTACAGGTTTTGATGTGTGGGGGTGGGCGATTAGAACTGTAGAAAGCAAAGTATTAAAGCCAAAGTGCATGTAAATTAAACAAACAAATGGCATAGGATGCCTAGAGGGACAATGATAGTGCAATTAATGAGAAATCTATAAAGGAAAGTGCTATAAAGGAAAATTTTTGTTTTTCTGTTTTCTTGAATGATACAAAGGCTTAAGAAGATGTACCAAGGATAGTACTATGATGTAAGCAGGACCAATGAAAATGTAGAAGATATCAGAGGCTGGATTTGTTGGAGAGAAGGCTAGCACTGTGGTACTGACTCACACTGAAGGGGAATTTGAATATGGAGGCTTCTGGGAAGACTATGTATGACACATTTTGAATGATAAAAAAAAATCAAACACTGTCTCACAGGATGAGAATTTATGTACTGATAATATTCAAAGAAACATGACACATGCTCTAAAATGAAATGTAAAAGAGCTCAAAAAAAGGTTCGGGCACAGGGTCCGCAACACAGAAGCCTGACCAGAGCCTCACTGAGTAACAGACATCAAGGGCTTAGCACTTATTTAAACAACACATTTTCAATTAATTTGTAAAACAGGAGCCACAAAAGCCCAGTCCTATGCTTTCTATTCATAACATGTATTCATATATTCTACAGCATTTATTATTATTATTATTATTATTATTATTATTATTATTATTTTGTATTTTAGGGAAGGGTCTACAGGGTGTTCAGGGTCTCACTATTAGCTGGACTCATAGTGATTCTCCTGTTTACAGCCTCCCAAGTACTGGGATCACAGGCACGCGCCACCACGCCCAGTCTCAATTGCTGTCTCAGCGCGCCCCGGGACGGGGCTGGCATGGCCGGCTGGGGATCGAGCCCCTGGACCCTGAGCCTGCTTGCAGGTGCTTTAATCCACTGGGCTATCTGACCAGCCTCTACAGTATTTTTTATTTATTATATTTATTTTTTACAGTGTTTTTTAAATGAAACTAAATTTTAAAAAGTAGATGGGTGGCATTTCTTTTCCCAGGTAGATAGAATAAGTTTAATTTTTCCTACTCCTTTCATTAAATACAATGAAACCTGTGAGAATTAGATTTAAACAAACATAAAAAGACTGATAAATAATGAGGAACCCAGCCAGAGATCTAGGGACCAAGTCGCAGTACTTTGGTAAATTCCTTCAGTTACATGTCTAGATTTGGAGCTAAATAAGTGAACAGCCAGGCAACACCCATGGATCCAGACAATGAACAAACAGACAAAACACATAGCTCTCTATAACAAGAAGAACTCACTAAAAATGCTCCTGTACTATATCCAACCACCACACACAAAAATATTGGTCAACCTCAAAAATGCCCCAAAGGCCAAGTGGGGAGGGCAGAATTTTACCTTCTGCTGATGTGGTATTAGGTGAGGCTGAGTAAAGCCCCACAGCCCTATACTCAAAGCTCAGTATTAGCTGCTTTCCCCCCCAGAGTCTCTGGAGATCACATGAAGAGCCTGAACTTCTAGTTCCACCCAGACTTTCTAGAGAAAGTCTCCTAACAGTCAGGATGTTCATCATCATGTAGTAACGAGATGACCCCAACCCAGTTATCAGTGGAGACAACTGAGGAGATGGGATACCCACTCCCACTTAGCAACACTGAGGCGTTCTTGGCTCGGGTGTCAATGATGGCTGAGTGGGAAAGCTACATTTCTGCTGATCCTTGATAACAAGTCAGTATGCTGTTTTTCCTCAAATGAAATTGTGTCAGAGAAAGCCAGCTAAAACAGAAAGCACAACTAAGACCTAGAGATTTATGACATAATATGAAAGTGTCCAGGTTCAAGTTAAAAATATCTCATATTGAAAGTCAAGAAGATCTCTAACCAAATGAAAAAATACAACCGACACATACCAACAGTGAGGACAAATTATCAGATAATTTATAAAATTATCTGATTTTAAGGTACCATAGAAATGCTTTAATGACAAATTATACACATGCTTATAATAAGTAGGGGAAGGAAAGAAAGCATCAGTCAGCAAAGAAATGTAAAATGTCAGTAAAGTAAGATGTAAAGAAGAGACAAATGGAAATTTTAGAGCTGAAAAATACAGCAGTTAAAATAAAAAGCTTGGCCAATGGATGACCTTAATAATAGACTGAAGATAAAAGAGAAAAGAGTTAGTAAATTATAAGAAAAGAAAATATAAATTATCCATAGTGAATCCTGAGAGAAAACACTAAAAATACAAAAAAATCAGAGGAATTTGTGGAAATATGCACACATTTTAATAATCATGATACAAGAAAGGAAGGGAAAGAGGGAAGAGCTAAAAAATCATTTAAAGAAATAATGACCCAAAAAATTCTGAAACTTTGTAGGAGAGAGAAGCAACCCCAGATTTAAAAAAAGAGAGGAATCCACATAGGATAAATGTAAGGCAACTTGCTCATAGATAAATCATAATTAAAATTTTAGAAGCAGAAAACAAAATAATCTTCAACACAACTGCAAAAAATGACACATATAGAGGAAAAACAATGTGAATGACAGTAGCTGCATCATCAAAACCCACAGATGACAGAAGGAAGTAGCATAATGAACTTCAAGTGCTAGAAGAAAAAGAACTCTGAGCCCCAAATCCTGTAGCCATGGAAATGTTCTCCAGCAATGAAAAGCAAATCAAGATGTTCTCCAACAAAGGGAAACAGGGAGAAATTGTTGC